GGGGTCATTTTTGCTGTATAACATTGTTGTTAGTGGTGACGGGTGCTAAACACAGTGTATGCCCTCTGCTTGTAAGGAAAAGAAAAGACGAAGATTGCAATTTCAGGAGCATTTTGAGCTCATGAGAACCCCCCCCCCGCCACACACACACACACACACGGAGCGCCAATTTTCATTGCGAAGCGAAAGCGCCATTTTCTTGTCGCTCGTACCTGAGTTGAGGCTGACCTCCTTGATGGCGGCCGAGCTCAGGTAGTCGTCCTTGCACACGAACTTGTTCTCGTCGATGACGTAGAGCTCCTCGCCGGTGGACAGCTGCTTGTGGCACACCATGCAGGTGAAGCAGTTGAGGTGGAACACCTTGCTGCGCGCCTTGCGCACCAGGTCGCTGGGCGAGATGCCCTGCAGGCAGCCGGCGCACTTGGTACCGAAGCGCCTGCGCGCGGGCGCGCGGGGGAGGGAGGGAGAGAAAAGAAGACAAGGTTTGCAAGAGAGCCAACGCCGCCGAGGATTTCTTCCGAGTCTTTGTTTGCCTCGCCGTCCGTTTAGTCGGCGAGCGGCGCGCGGGGGGGACACGGTGAAAGCGGCCGCCGCGCCCGACAACTTGGCGGGAGCGCGCGGACGAGAAAGGGGGGAAAAAGGGCGCAGTTCCTCCGAGAGAACCGCGCGAAGAAAGCGCCGTCCGATCCGCGGCTCAAGTCCGGGGCCGACTTTTGCGCGCAAGGCCGCGAATCAAAGCGGGCGATTGGGTGCTCTGGAAGCCCCTAACCCTAACCAAGGGGGTTTCGCTGCAGGGTGTCTTTTTTTTTTTTTTTTTTGTTTTTTTTTTTTTTTTTTTTTTTTGGGGGGGGGGGGTGTGATCGGACGAAACGCAAATGAAAACGCTGTGAAACAAAAAGCAAAAGGCCATGTTGACGTCGGAGCCTTTCCCACCACCGCTTTTTCGCCTCCTCTTCTTTCTTTTGCCGCGCAAGCCTGAAACGTGAACATTTTCTCGACCGCCGATCGAGAAGTTGCGCGACTTGATTTCATCGTCACGGTTCTCATCTGCCTTCTCACACATCGTCGAGTTTGGAAATATCCGAGCAGATGGTCAAACGTGACACTTGCTTTCAATCGGCCAGATAACACACACGCGCAAATATAGACCCCCCCCCCCCATCGAGATAGCTCGACGGTGTATAGAAGTAGAGCGATATACATCTAGACTCCATCAATACTGTATATTCACGTCCATCTGCGGATAGATGAAGAAAATGAAGCTCAGGTTGTACGTTGGTGGGAAAGGCAGCCTGGTGGTGCCGATCAAGCCATTAGTGGCAATCAGCGCATTGTAGGCAAGCTATGAGACGGGATTAGCAAGAGTGGGACGTAGTTTAGGCGTGGAAATCTTCCCTTAATCCAGAGAAAACGTGGGAGGAAAGGGAGGACCCCCCCCCCCACACACACACACACACACTAAAAATTGTCATCGCCTGGCATCAAAACAGGAACGAAACAAAGCAGCTGTTTCAGGGCCACCTGAGTGAGCGCTTGCGTGAAGGGGGGTGACTTGGGCAGCCCCCCCCCCCTCCTCTATTGTTTTAGTACTAATGTGCGCCCCGCTGTCCCTCCGCGCCGTGGCCTTTCTCATGCGCGTCCACCCGGCGCAACAATCGGACACGTGAGCGCGATTAGTCCCGGCGGCCGCTCGGAAGGCCCGAACGCCTTCGGAAGGGCGTTCGGGCCGAGTTCGGCCGCTGGGAAAAGGAAAACAAAAACGGGCTCGTTCGGATCGACGCGAAGCGAAGACGCACCGGCGGCCGCGCGCGGGCCGCCCGTCGCGTGAACTCGGGAAAGGCCGCCGGATGAATTCAAATGCCGCGGTCGCCTTTCATTCCGATTCTTTTGCCAAGCTGCCGATCGGGTGACCGAAGCGACAATTCGCCCGACCGCCATTCCGTTTTGAAATGGAACCGGCAAGCCTTTTTGCTTTGATGATTCTTCTTTTTTTAATCGGTTTCATGGCTTGCTTGACGAACGTACGTTTGACAAATAGCAATCGTGCGAATGCGAATAGTCAGCATGCGGAACAAGTTGCCTTGACGCATTGTTATTCGGATGATTTGGATGAGCCCGTTTGTTAAAGGCGGCGGACGACTCGTGGCCGAAGTGAACGAGTCTTTTGTTTTTTTTTGGAAAATAGAGACGTCATCGTGTGACTTGGAATAATCATTGGTATTATTTGGAAGCGCTGGATATTTGTCAAGAGGCATGCCACACTGCAAAACGCACGCTCTTTTTTTTTTTTTTTTTGAAATAGCAATGAAGTCTCTTCAAAAATTATTTCAGCACTTTTAGGTCATCATGTGACTTCAGAATCTTCAAGTTTGTGTTTGTTTGTTAGTTGTTTCCAAAGCCGCCTCGGACTACCTTGAAGTATCGAAGGAAGGAGACGCATTTAGCTTGCTTTGAATACGATGACTTGGAAATAAAGAACAACAAAACTCGCCTCCCTCATCAGATTAAAAAGTGGCCAAAATAGCACATGCTCCTTTTCTTGATATGTAATCGATGAACTCAAGTCAAATGGATTTGGCTTTTTTTTTTGTTGTTGTTTTTTTTCGTTTAACAAGAGCGCAAATTCGCAGCGAGCGCGCAGCACGCGACGCCGCTTGGCCGTCCGTCGGTTTGGGGCCCTACCGGAAGAAGTCCAGCTTGCAGAAGAGCTTTCCGTCCCGCGAGAAGCACTTGTCGGTCAGCTTGCAGCTGCACTCGCAGCACTGCACGCACTTGGCGTGCCAGGCCCGGTCGAGCACGTTGAGCAGGAACCGGTCCAGGATGGGCCGCTCGCAGCCGGCGCAGTGGACCATCATGACTGCGGCCCGCGGCGAGCCCACGGCCGACCTCCCCCTTCTTGTCTGCGGACTGGCTCGGCGCGGCGCGGCTCGGGCGGCGCGGCGGGCCTCTCTCCACGCGGAACCGCGTCGGGGATCCTCCAGCGTCCCCCCCACCCCTCCCACCCC